TTTTTACTAAGGTAAGGACTCAACTTCAAAAACAGTGCACTTCCCACTGTATCTCAAGAAATGGTTTGAAGTCCTTCTTTCTAAAAGTAATTTACTATCACTTAAATATGATGCCAAGTAGAGGAGGAAAATAAGAAAGCCTTTCTCTGAACAGCTTTCAAGCAAAAACAGTTAAAAGTGACAAAAAAAGTGATTATGTTATTTCACTGTTTAGAAAGAACAAAGACTGATTATGTCTTGATTTAAAAACCCCAACAATCTAACAGTAAAAGCACATCCTTCCCCCAAACACTCTCCTCTGCTTTCATCATCTGTGTGTAACAATCGGAACCAATGTGCTCTGCTGTCAACAACTACAGTATTTTCAGTTGCTGCTTCTACAATGCACCCCAGTCATCCCAAGGCTCTATTGACAGCTATCCTGGAGCACTGCTGAGCTGTTGCTGACCAGCTGGGAGGCGTGTTTTATCCTCTCCACGATGCCGTCGTGGCCCAGGTACTGCAGGGACAGCCACAGGGGCAGCGCACGGAGCTTCTCCACGGGCTGGCTTGATGTCAGCCCGGCTGCCAAGGACTGAGGAAGAGAACAAACAGAACATTATTAACCTCTCCTCAATGCTGCCATTTTTTGCCAGCTTTTGCAAGTTATAATTTAGACCTTCATCAAGAACAAGACACTACACTGGTCAAAATCAAAATCTCAAGGTCTCGACTGAGGAGCTGAACTCACCAAGGATGGGTCCTCGTGTCTGTAGAGAGTCACTGCAGGCACAGCTGGGAGCCCCAGCCAGGAACCCAGGGTGAGAGTCATGCTGTCACATTTGGTAGCAGCCTGAAGTTTATTACAGTAAGCAGAATGGAAGCCATATGGATTTGGATTAGATCATAACCTTAAAATCTAGAGCACATTCTTAAGTTTCTAGATAAACATACCAGTACAGAAGACGAGACATAACCCAAAGCCAAAGTTGCCAGATTCACACTGAAAAAAAAAAAAAAAAAAAGTGGGCTTAGCACATATTAAATATGTATTAACAGACAGCATTTTAATTTGCAGTTTAAATATTCTATGTTGACGCATAAAGGGAGGTAATTTTTGTTCATATATTTTTCATTAACAATGCAGTAGATGCTGCTACTTGGTATTCCAGGTCTGAAAATTCAAAAGTAAAAATCCATTTCAATCTATAAGTGTTTCAGTCCAACCTTTGGGGAAATCATCCCCTAAAGTATTACTCATAATTTAGCATCAATTTGGTATCAGAAATAAACAGCATGCAAATATAACACTATGAAATACCAAGAGAAACAGTCTCTCTGCTCCAGGCACACACTTGGAACACTGGAGTTTTCACTGACATTGTCTAAGTTCTTGGAATTTCATTTCCTCTTGGTTTAATCCCCCTCTCAGTTATCATGCACGCTGCACTTGCTGCAGCATTCCTGACAACCTTCATCAAGTGTCATCTATTCCACACCCATTTCACTCTCCCTTCTCATTCTCAATAATCACTACAGAACATCCTCCCTCACTTAGAAGGTCTTCCAGGCCTCCCTGGCCTACAAGGTCTTTTAAATCAAACTTTAAGCCCTTCAAAGAAAGGGCAGATAAGATTACCATATGAATAAAAGCAATCACTAATCTATGCTGAAATAACCTCTCCAATTAATTCTTCCTATGTATGTAAATCAATTTCTATCTCAAAACGACTAAATTATAACCACATAAAACGCTTAACATGACAACAATAAAGCTGGCCCTGTGGCTCCCCACCAGCTGATCAGCTGTAAAATTCCGTGCTGGGAATTAGTTGGACTTTGTAATGAACACAGTTCTGGAGAAATAAACTCCCAGTGCCATACCCTTCCACGTGGAGCCACATGTTGTGCTGCTCACAGAGCTCCTTCAGCCGGCCCAGCTTGTCCGTGTGCCCCGCGCCGGGAGTGCCTGGGATGGACGGGGACAAGGAGGGACACAGGGTCAGCCTGCACGCCAGGGCTCTGCACAAAGCACCTCTCCTCCTGCTTGACATCCCAGATATTTTATCAAGCCCAAAGCAAGTAACAGTCACCTCCGTCATTTGTACTTAGAGCAAGTTTTGTTCACGAGCAGTTGTGTTTAGTTAACAAGAAGGAAAATGGAATTTTCCAAGCTAAAGTTGATGGCACATCCATCTAAAAGTGTTAACATGAAACTGATTTTCAACAAGAGATTTGCACTCACTAAAATAAGTTACAGTCATATTAATACATCAACTGACGTAAGCAGAACCACAGCAGTATAATCCAGCCTAAAATCAGCTGAATAAAAACCCCTCTAGACAGATAATTGTTGTGTGGTCATTAAGGTATTTCTTGATATGCAACCACTAAGCTGCTTAAGAAAATATATTTTGATTTTTATATTATATATATATATTTGTGAAATAGCAGGGTTTATTTTTTATTGTTTGTCCATAGCACTTACCAGCATTGGCCACAAGCAACAAAGGCAGTTTTCCAGACTCAACATCATCTTTAATCACTCTGTCCAACAGAGCAACATCCTGTTATCAATAAGGAAACAATATGTTTGTGAAACACCAAATTGTTTCTCCTGAACTGGAAAAATGCATTAAAAACAGAAATGGACATGATTGTGGCTTGCAGCTTCTTCTTCTCAAAGGAAAAATAATCTGAAGGTCAAATACAGCACTTGAGAAAATTACAACACAGATACATCATGTAGGTTGTGAAGGTACCTTGGAGTACTTGGGGTTTAGAAATCTTGCACTAAAAAGCACCTTACTGAAATGTCATTTAAAATATTTTGCAAATTACGAGACCAAGATACAAGCTGCTTCTAGAAATTTTCCATCTATGATTTGTACAGCTATAAACCAGAAGGAGTTAGAGGCTGAAAGCATGTTAACAAGCTTCTCCTACCAACATAATTGACATTCATTTAATGAGGGGGGAAGGGGGGAAAGAAAAAAAAAAGGGAAAAAAAAAAGCAAGCATAACCAAAGAGCTCTTAGGAAAGACAAACTTACCATTTGGTGCTGAGATCCAAACATAGTGTTACAAGGCACACGGCACATGCAGGAAAGGGGCAACCCCAGCTGCAATGAAAAGGATGGAATTTCAGCCACTGACAACACTCATTTCCTGTGTTCACAGAAATACACAAAAACCAGTATGACAATAGAAACCTTAATATTACATTATAAAGTAAGTTTCCTGCTTAAACTTGTCATCAAATTAATAGTAGAGAAAAACAACAGTCAGCTTTAGTTGACTCGTCAACTGCATTCAGGTTTTTCAGTGAGATCCCCGAGCTCTGCACAACGGCCTAAACTCAGCCCTGGACTTGGCCACCCCTGCAATCAACACATCCTGCAAGCAAAAGTGTGCCTGGTGCCACGTCCCACTGCAAGTTCACAGTCACTTCACTTCTAAGTAAAGATCACGAGACAAGTCAAGTCCAGCTGATCATTCCTACCCATCACTGAACAGAAGATTCAGCAACAGAAGAGAACTACAGTTACACTCATCTACTTTTATCCTTTCATCTAGAAGAGGCTGAATTATGTCTGATCACTCAATTCCAGTTGTCTGCTCCACAGTATACATTCCTTCTCAAAACTGAAGATAAAATGTTATCCCTTTGAAGTTCAGTGATCACCTAATGGTTGGCCAGGTTACCTTACACACAAAAGACAGGGTGTCAGTGTTACCAGCCGAATCTACTCTGTACTCAGAAGCAAAAGGTTCCCAAAACACTGCTCCTTAGCACGATTTTCTTGTATCAAGAAGTTTCAGTCAATACCTACATGAAACACTTGGCTTACCAAGGACATCAGCTTACTCCAATGAACTTTTACCACCTACTTCCCAAGTCATTTTGGCTGAGACAAGTTCCATCTATGATACCATTTTTATTTTTCTGTGAGTAGTGTATCTGCATAATTAGGAAAAAATAGGTTTCTTTAAAGTGCTGAGTTGTAGGGATAATTTCACTATCCCAAACAAGACCTCCTGAAATTGGATCAGCACAATCTACTCCTGCCTCAACAGTTTGTCTTAAAAAACCCCATAAATATTTTTTATTGAACATAGCAGTACAGGGGCATCATTCAGTACTAATTTCGCAGTAATTCACTGTTTGCAAATCCAGTATGTCTGGGCTCAGGTCTATTGCACCATGGCCAGTAGCTTATGTAAAGCACAGTGCAATCTGAAAACAATCATTCATCTTTTAAAAAGTTAGCACATAGGATCCTTTCACTGGAAATATGCAGAAAATTTCTCTTCCTCCCACTGTGAGGCTGCTGCAAAACACAGGCAGTAAACAAAAACTGGAAGTATTTTTCCCAGACCTACTTTCAAACTCTGCTTGAAGCCAAATCCCCAACTGACTGACTTTACCTGATTGCAGAGAGCTTGGCCCAGGCCTGCTCTGGCTGCAGAACTGATGTATATGACAGGCTGCTTAGAACAGAGCACGTTAAACCCTTCTATTGTGTAATCCTCATAGCGCGTGTGAATAACGAGGCGACAGATTTTTAGGAGACCTTCACGATCATCTTCATGGTAATAAGCTGATCCATTTTCATACCTGCAAGAAAAGCCAAGAAAATATGACCAACAAAACCAATAAACCAGTTTAGTGACTAAAATAACACTGACCAGCAAAGGAGCTCAGCAGAGGACAAATGATAAAAAACCCTTCTCTTTTCCCAGGTTAAAGTAGATTAGAAAAAAACTTTGATAGGACAGGTCAAGATTAAACAATGAGGGGAAGCCTAGTATATATTTTCATTTGGACACAGAGATAGAATTAGAAAGGAAGAATATCTGGGTTCCTAAGATTGCCTTTACCCAGTTCAAAACCTTGTTTACTAAGAGCAGAGTGCAGGAGGAAACACACTAAAGGCTTCATTCTGGTGTTAATATATATGTAAATTTTGGACTGCTAATTTTAAAGAGAATGCAACCTGACATTCTTTAGGCTAAGTTAAGGTGGTGTTTCAGACCTCTCAAATATCTGTAAGTTTGTAGTACAGTGGGTTGGTTCTGTTAACATCCCCAGTCCAGTCACACATTTTTGAACAATCATCACTCTCCAGTCACACGGAACTTATTCCCAGGGACTCACCTGAACAGCCTGCAGAGCCAGAGAGTAGTATCAGAAAGGATCCTTGTTGTAAGTTTTCTCAGTCTTTCCCTGTCCAGCACAGATATATAAGCAGCCAAACTGTGTCCCAGTAGAGCCATGTGACCCTGTTCACCAACATTTTGGAGCCTGCGAGGCAGAACAGAGTAATTGCAAATGAAACACAAGCCAGGGCCATCGCAGTAAATTTAGGTTTACAAGTTTTTAATGTAGAGTGGCAGAATTCCTTGACATGCAATTTAAATATTTAGCAGAGAGAAGTACAGTGCATGACAATCACCCTCCTGCCACTGTGCATGACACACTGAACTGCCAGTGCACACAAAAACCCCTGCACTGCACTTGGCCCAGAAACAGCTCGGCTGCCCTTGAGCCCATCAGCCAACACCAGCAGAACCAAGCATCTTACCTGCACTGGGACTTTAAAGTGCATCAAACACACCCCCTTTCTCTCCCCATGCAGAGGACACTCAGGAGACTTAATAGATTTAGAGGCACAGCTTTTATTTGTTTCATGGGGTTTTTTTTTTGTTCGTCGTTTGTTTTTTTTTCTTGTGGGTTTTAGGTGTCTTTTTAATCTCCAAAATGTTCTTCAAATATTAAATTTTCAATTATCTTCTCCAGATTAGTCTTATTTCCATTTGACAAAAAATGGAAACAAATTTTATTTCCTTTTGTTTCTAAATCTACAGAGATACATGGTAAAAAAAATCATTGGTATTCAAAGCATTAAGACTTTCAGACTTAAAACAACTTTCAGGAAGTAGAAAAAATGAGCTGTCACATCAGAAACAATTCCCTTGTATAATTCAACTTAGTAACTAGTAATAAAAGCTTTATAATTTTAAGAAAGCCAAGCCTCATGGATTATTCTGCTTCATTGTACAACCTAAGATGCCATCAAAAAGTTACCTGGTTGCATGATATTTTACACTTGAAAATATTTAATATTTAAATATATATAGAAATTCTATAGATTTATACATATATAGAACTTAAATCTATAGGCTTTATAATAATCAGGATATAATAAAATCAGGTATCTTCCACAGTAACTGATTTTGGCCTTACCGATAGGACGGAGAAGATTCCTCTTCCTCCTCTCCATGCATCAGGTTCTGGACTAACTGAAGGATGCTCACCATATCCTGGCCACTGGGAAGGAAAAAATGATATGATACATGATTAATACTAAAGTTGCCTGGAAGACAAACATGCTATGTGTATTTTACATTTTTTAAAAAGAGCATTATCTAAAAATTATTGCTGCCTACCTGCCTTGGAGTGGTCCAGGAATGTCCTTCCGTGCATACTTCTTTTCATTTTCCTCCTCCGCTTTTCTAAGTTAAAGACACAAGAATAAACTACAGATTTAACATATTTACATATTTGTGTCTTAGAACATCAAATAAGTAATTGACTTTGACTTGCAGAAATACAAACTGACATGTCTGCAATCTATTTCACTGACAACGGGTGCATAAACAAACCAGATGAGACCAACACAAAAGTTCAGCTCAGACTGAATTAAAGAGTTGCCAAGTTTTGGGGGTTTGTTTTTAAACAGAAAGCTTACAGAAAAGTCTCATATGTACACTAATTAGAAGTTACTTGCACTGCAATAATAGTAAAAAACCTCACCTCTCTGAAACATCAGGCTCGCTGGACTTGTTCTGAATATTACAGACCATGCATAAAAATATGTACATTTATTTTAAAAATCCCATCATCTGATAAACAGCAGTGATTTGTAGAGGTGTAAGCTTCAGAATGGCAATATGACCTTAAAATACTAAGAAAATGAGGCTTTTTTCTGCTTAATGCCAGCAACAGCAATAACCCTCCCCTCAGCACAAACACCTGGTGGGTTTGTGTTATACCCTCTGCAGGTACCTCTGATTGTCCTCCAGCATCTTCATGGCTTCATTCAGATTCTTTCCCATTTCTGCCAGAGTAGGGTCGACCATCTTTCAGGAAAAAGAAAACAACTTTTTTCTTAAAAGATCAAAACCCATTTATCTTACTGGTGTCCCCAGAGAATCCTCAATACAAATTCATGCACCAGCCAGATTCTTGTAAATAAGCCTCATTTAAAATATGTTGAATATCCTGAACTCAAAAATATACAAAATGAGAAAATCCTACTAACCTAAGATAAACCAAAAGAACACTCAGCTGTAATGTGGGATTTATTATCGATAGATCAAATCTTTTCCTCCACAAGAAAAGTCAGATTTTTTTTCAGACAAATAAGTGTTCAAGTGCTCCTTATAATGCCTAAATTAAAACAAACAAACAAACAAACACACCCCAGAGCCTCTGGGAGTTACCCCCGCAGGCTGCTGAGGTTGAGGGGTGACAGGGCAGGAAGTGGGAGCTGTTTAAAGGAAAAATCCCAAACCAATTGAATATTTGGACTCACGCTATCCCCACTGCAGGGATCTGGAATAGCTTGTCTGCTGTGGGATTTCAGCAGCATTATTCCTAAAGGCCAACTTTCCACCTCTGCTGATGGAACACAGGCAACAGAGGCAAATGCCTTTGCTCATGCAGATGCAGACACAAAAGCAGATTTAATCACTGAAGGTAGGGGGATTCATTTACATGAGGATTTTACACTATTTTCATCTGGAGGATTGATTAAGAAACAAACAAACAAAAAAGCTGAGAGCTACCATATGTTCAAAGACTATTTTTACCAAAATATTTTGAGATTTAACTCATAACAAGCGGTTGGTGGCTGAAAGAATCAGTAGCCAGGCATGAGCACAGTGATCAGACCCAGAGTGACAGCTCCCTATCCTGTGGCTTTAGAAGTGGCCAGTAACAAATGTTTGGGGGAGGAACAAAAGAACAGTGCAAGTACTGAGTAATATTTTGCCACCAGAACTCCCAGCACTCAGCAATAAATTGGTTTTTACACTTCAGTCTTCTACAACATCCACTGGGTATGAAGGCCACAGCTTAAACTATTACTAAGTGAAAAAGCAGTAGAAATATTAAAAAGTTCAAGACCTCATCACAGAGATTAAAAAAAAATCCACACACACTGCAAGCATTCAATAGTCAGAATACAATATATATAGCTAAAAGAAAAACCTAAATATAATCCTTGGCAATATTTCCCCACAATTGCAGTGGTTTCCAGAGTTGCACCACATCAAAGAAAATCTCAAAAGAAGTTCAGGGGAAAAAAAAAAAAATCAGTGTTTCCTCCTGGAAGCCCTTAAGGGAGTAAATGACAAGACTAATTTGCTGATTGTGACGATCTCACATAATTTAATTCAGGCTGCCATAAGACACGATCAATGGCTGGGAGGCAGTTCCTTGTTTGCACCTCCCTGGGCACCACGTGCCAGTTTTTAAACAGCTCTGTTGCAGATGAGGACACGAGAGGGAGAGGCTTTACAGAAAGGGCTCTGATCTGCTTTTGTTTGCTCCCAACATCAAATTCACATCAGAAGTTACAAACCACACCTGTGACTCATCCTGCCTTGCTAATAATTACTCACCCATGAACCCCTCCTGCCAGTAAGCTGGCAGAGTAAATACATAAAATACAGCTTCAAAACTCCTAAGAAGATACACTAAAGCTCCATAAAATGCTATGAAATCCAGAAAGTCCTTGAATTCTAAAGTGGGCTTAATTGGGAAATGAATCCCTTCTGAATTTTTCCAATTGATAAGTGGATATGCAGCAACTTAATTTCTCCTCTGAATTATGGGGAGAGAAAAATGCCCACCTTTTACTGCTGCATGCTGAATTTTACATATATATTATATATATATATATATATATATATATATATATATATATATGCTCCTCTGGTCATTAGTAAGGGCATGCAGGTGGGAAGCAGGAGATCTGCTTATTTTAAGCCCCAAGAAAAATAGGTGTGGCAGAGTTGCAGCAAGAAATCAATCAGTTATGAAAGGTTTCTGAACATACTTTAATAACATGCCATAATAAAGCAGTATATTCCTTTACTTTTTTCTGTAAAGGAGACCAAGTGTGTATAGAATCCAATAAAAAACTGAATATTTTTTTCACGGTCCTAAACTGTTTTTTAAAAACGAGTGGTGGATGAATTCTTGAATATCACCTCCTGAACCACGGGACAACACACTTTTTGAGGGAGTTAAAGCAGCAGTAAAACTCGGTCCTTCCCCTGGCACTGCAGGGCCTGGCTCTGCTCACACCCAGGGGTGCCTCTGACCACACGAGTTCCAGGACATGACATGTCCCTCCAAGCTCCAAGGAGGCACCAGCCACAGCTTCTTCCTTCCAGGTGTCCATTCAGCACCCCAACACCTCCTGCCTCCTTCAGCCCCGCAAAGACCCCGACACAGCCAAACCTGCTTTGACTTTTATCATCCACTGCCTTCAAAACATGTTCATCCAATCCCTGGGGTTATCCTGCAATAATAGGGTTGATTGGTGGTTACTTCCCTATTCTGTAACCAGTCTGGTACTAGTTTGAACTGTAAACTGTCAATGGCTTTACAGGCCCTGTGTCACACCTTGGAGCCACTTGGCAGCTGGGGAAAGGATAAGGGGCCGTTCTCCAGCTGTGATGAGACTGAACATGAAGTGCAAATTCAAAAACGAGGATGCTGCTTCAGATCCTGGTTTACAATCCTGATTCTACATTTCTGTAGCTGTACTCCTCATGAAATAAAGGGATGATTTTTAAACGCTACGTAAACTAAGGTGTGTGCAAAGCGACTCAGAGGTGTGGCTCATTTCCTACTTCATGGGAAGTACACCTGAGTTCCCCACTACGTTATTTTAACTGCTTAAAAGAAAGTTTTACCAGCAAACCTCCCAAAAATGTTCTCAATACTAAATTAAATCTCAAACAATATCAGTATTCTTCAGCCCAAAGAATACTGTGTTTATTCTCCAGGCTAAGAAAAGTTTAAGATAACAAAAAAAGAAAGCAGCCATTTCATGCCTGTTGGGTTTGAATGCAAATGGCACTGTGTCACAAGGCTTACAGACATTTACTCTCTGAAGCTTTATTATCTCCTGACATGCAGCAGGACCTGCATGCAGGTGCTGCCACAAGTTTTCTGTAAAATTACCAGGATGCTGTGGTAAACAGCACAGCACCAGAAGACAAAAGCCACAGGCTGAGCAAGGAACCAAAACAGTTTTTCATGTTTAGG